CTAAGCCCCCCAGTTTCAGAACGTTTTGCACTGTTATTTAGGATATTTTTGAAGTTTTTGCAAATAATATATATTTTTAAAAAAACATGATCTATCCCCTCACATTTCTCTACAATGACACACCTTTCACAAAGATTCACACATCCACTAATTTTAAGAATTTTTTTAAAGTTTTGCCCAACATTTAAAAAAAATAACAAAGGAGGTATCTCCTGGAATTTCTCCACAGCAAGAGAAAAAGAACAGGGCATCATTCTGGCACCCTTCTTGTCATCTTTCAGAAATATACACTCATCCAATGATTTTTAGGAAATTTTCAAAGTTTTACAAAAAAAACAACTGGAAACGCCAGGAGCAACTCCCTTTGGGGCTTTGGCCAATTTTTCCAAATGTGAAACCCTATGGCTCTGGCCCTATTGCAGAAAAGCTATGGCAGAATGAAGTACAGCACATAACAGCAACAGGCTTCTGCGAATGTGTAACTTGGTGCTTGGGTAGTATGGTGTTGTGTGGGAATAGTATAGGGAAGTTTTAATGCAACATGGATTCTCTTTTTAAAGACTCTGGAATAGAGACGATGCCTATTGTCTGTAACTCTGTGTCTATTAAGGAGTACCATTTTTGGTATTCTAATTTGGTTGGGTACCCAGATCTATTTTTCAGGAGCCTTCCAGAAATTGGCTAATGTGAAAATCTGTTTTTGGCTAGGCAGCTGAAAGATCAGGAAGATTCGCTCCATTGGTGGGAATGGGGAACTTATGAGGCTCTCCTTTCCATTTCTGGGATCCTTTCTTCCTTTGTGTTTGGAGAACAGGGTTAAGAAAGCACCCCTCCTGGAACCTTTTTCCTTTCTTCCTTTCAAGGGAGTCTGGGTTAAAGATTGGGGTTAAGAAAGCATCCTTCCTGGGACCCTTTTATTTCTTCCTTACAAGGAAGTTTGGGTTTGAGCAAGGGGTTAAGGGAGCATCCTTCCTGGGACCCTTTCCTTTCTTCCTGTCAAGGGAGTCTGGGTTTGAGCAATGGGGTTAAGGGAGTTTGTATTTTAAGAATGGGGTTAAGGGAGCATCCTTCCAAGGACCCTTTCCTTTCTTCCTGTCAAGGGAGTCTGGGTTTGAAGAATGGAGTTAAGGGAGCATCCTTCCTGGAAACCTTTCCTTTCTTCCTGTCAAGGGAGCCTGCATTTGAAGATCAGGGTTAAGGAAGCATCCTTCCTGGGACCCTTTCCTTTTTGCTGTCAAGGGAGTCTGGGTTTGAACAATGGGATTAAGGAAGCATCCTTCCTGGGACCCTTTCCTTTCTTCCTGTCAAGGGAGTCTGTGTTTGAAGAACGGGGTTAAGGGAGCATCCTTCCTGGGACCCTTTCCCTTCTTCCTGTCAAGGGAGTTTGCATTTTAAGAATGGGGTTAAGGGAGCATCCTTCCTAGGACCCTTTCCTTTCTTCCTGTCAAGGGAGTCTGGGTTTGAGCAATGGGATTAAGGAAGCATCCTTCCTAGGACCCTTTCCTTTCTTCCTGTCAAGGGAGTTTGTATTTGAAGAATGGGGTTAAGGGAGCATCCTTCCTGGTACCCTTTCCTTTTTTCCTGACAAGGGAGTCTGTATTGAAGAACGGGGTTAAGGGAGCATCCTTTCTGGAACCCTTTTGTGAAGAACTCAAAACTGTCACATGGCAGGATGGATCTTATTTTTCTACCCCACGGCTGCCACCATTTAATATGTAGTACACACCCAGGAAATACAGGTAGAAGTCTTCAGCAGTTGAACTGAACCAGAAGAACTTTTACTTGAAGATTTCTCAGGTTCACAATGCTTGGCGGTTACAAGTATCTTCTTCTTATTGTTACACTTAACTCTTGACTTTTCTTGGCGGTTACAAGTATCTTCTTATTATTGGTACACTTAACTCTTCCTGTCAAGGGAGTATGGGTTTGAGCAATGAAGGTAAGGAAGCATGCACCATGTGTTTCCGAATAGAAGCCACATGCAGCATTTCAGGCAAAAAAATAATAATCATGGTAGCTGTTACAGCCATCTGAATGGTAAAGTTGTTGGTAAAGTGTTGGGAAAGTTGTCCATCAAAGGGCAACTTTTTCACATAATTGTAAATATAAATCCAGTGGGCCCTTGATATCTGTTGAAATTTGGTTCCACGACCAACTCCTCAGAGATACCGAAATCCAAAGATGCTCGGGTGCCATTTTATACAGTGGTATATTTAAAATGGCAAAATCAGTTTGCTTTTGGGAATATTTCTTGAATATTTTCAAGCCATGGATGACTGAATCTGTCAATATGGAGGGCTATGTTCAGATACAGAATGCCTCTCTTACTCCGCACAATTATAACAGCTTGATGTCACTTTAACTGTCAGGAATTCGTTGTCCAAGAACTTTATGGCTTGGGGGAGAGTGATGCTTCTTTCATTAAAGGAGTCGAAGGCATAGGTGCGGAAATATCTCACAGTACAAAGTGTGTTATTATATCTCAACCCCATCCTTGATCTTTTATCCTAAATACTCTGGAATTCTTGAGGTCAGAAAGTGCAAATTTGGAGCATATCCATTCAGAAGTAAATCCCAAAGGTTTGAGGCTCACAACGTGTTTACAAAATTGTAGCCTCCATTTAAGAATAATGCAAGGGTCTTCAAACTTTTTAAATAGAGGGCCAAGTCACAGTCCGTCAAACTGTTGGAGGGCCGGATTATAATTTGAAAAAAATGAATTTCTATCTTATTTGTAGTGCAAAAACACTTAATAGCAATACAATAATTAAAATAAAGCACAATTTTAACAAATATAAACTTATTAGTATTTCAGTGGGAAGTGTAGGCCTGCTTTTGGCTGATGAGATAGGGTTGTTGTTGTTTTTGTGTGCTTTCAAGTTGTTTCAGACTTAGGTTGACCCTGAGCAAGGGCCGGGTAATTGACATTGGAGGGCCGTATCCGGCCCTCGGGCCTTAGTTTGAGGACCCCTGGATTAATGTATGTGAACTTCACAACATTGTAGAGTTGGAAGACAGGTTACAACACAAATTTAACAACTAATATTTTCCATACAGCTTGAAAAACTCACAGCAACCCAGTAACTCTGGCCATGAAAGCCTACGACAACACAACTAATATTTGATTTGTACCCACCATAGTGTCCCTTTTGATTAGAATTGTTTTTTAAAGGCAGTCATGTAGTGTTGGAGCTGAATTTATTTCATGGCAAGTATCCATGTTTCTTAATGAAAAGCTTAGCCAAATCAAGCTTACGGAAGAGAGTTCTGGGGGTGGAAGGATGAACCCACAAAATACCAATGATCACATCTAGGGAACCCATTTTGTATTGTAACTCCCAGGATCTTCCAGCCAGCCATAGACATGGGTTAGACCCTTTTCCACCAAACTCAAGGGAAGCCCCTCGGGTGCTGGACAAGTGTCTGACCGCTGTAGCTGTCTGGATGAGGAAGAACAAGCTGAAGATTAATCCTGACAAGACAGAGGTCCTCCTGGTCGATCATAAACCGGATCGGGGTATAGGGTGGCAACCTGTGCTGGACGGGGTTACACTCCCCCTGAAGTCACAGGTCCGCAGTTTGGGTGTCCTCCTGGACTCATCACTGTCGCTTGAAGCTCAGGTGTCGGCGGTGGCTGGGAGGGCCTTTGCACAACTAAGACTCGTGCACCAACTACGACCGTACCTCATGAAGATGGATCTGGCCAGGGTGGTCCATGCCTTAATCACCTCCAGATTGGACTACTGTAATGCACTCTACGTGGGGCTGCCCTTGAAAACGGCCCAGAAATTCCAATTGGTCCAACGGGCGGCGGCCAGGTTGTTAACTGGTGCTCCTTACAGAGAGAGGTCAACCCTCCTGTTTAAGGAGCTCCACTGGTTGCCATTCATTTTCCGGTCCCAATTCAAGGTGCAGGTGCTTACCTACAAAGCCCTAAACGGTTTGGGACCCGCCTACCTGTGTGACTGCATCTCTGTGTACGAACCCACACGATCTCTTCGTTCATCTAGAGAGGCCCTGCTCACGATCCCACCTGCATCGCAACCGCGATTGGTGGGGACGAGGGATAGGGCTTTCTCGATGGTGGCCCCTCAACTCTGGAACTCTCTCCCTAAGGACATCAGGCAGGCCCCATCACTAGCAATCTTTAGGCGGAGCTTGAAAACGTGGTTGTTCCAGTGTGCCTTTCCAGAATAAGGAAACTCCTAGCATTATGTCCCAACGCACTTTATCAGAGACCCAGAATATCTGCATGCCCATCCCCCTCCAAACACCCCACCTTGTCATGCCCAGCACTTTTTAATTTTAATTATTACATTTGGCCCGGCCATTGTTTTTAATTGCGTCATTAGATGTTGTTAATGTTATTGCTTTGTTTTTCTTATTTTGCTGTTTGTTGTTGCTGCTGTTTTTATTGTTTTTGGGCTCGGCCTCTTGTAAGCCACACCGAGTCCTTCGGGAGATGGTAGCGGGGTACAAATAAAGTATTATTAATATTATTATTATTATTATTATTATTATTATTATTATGGGTGGGGAACTCAGCAAAATAGCCTCTCCAAGCTCTACAATGAATGGTATTTGAAGTCTTTCCCCTTTGCCTAATGACAAATATAAGGATTAGAGTGTGGAGTCACAAATAGCTGTAGAGTGATGATAGATGAATCTTCCATGGATTGTTTTGCTACAATGGCCAACAGCTGTCTATAGAAAGGGTACTTATGATTATCAGATAAAGATGGATGGGAAAATGGACAGATCACCCACAACATGGTATGATCATGACTTTCATGCATAGTGGAAATGGAATAATGTCTGGGGATAATGTGAGTAATAGTCCCACGTAAGTAGAGATTGTCAGATTCAAGAAAACCGAACTGGATCAGTCACACCCAAACACAATTGCTAAACACATCTCCTGAATTCATGGAAGATGAACCAAGAAAAGCACAGCACACTAAGCAATTTAGAATTGAAAGGAGAGAGACCATGGACTAAAATTAGGTTTAAAAATCTCTTTTATTACAAAAAAACCCCTATTTCCAAGTCCAAATGCAGCGGAACCTCATCGGCACCATCCAAGATACCAAGGTACAAAATCCCGGAACGTTTGAACCTGCTAGCATTACCTCTGAGGGCAGCTATGGTTATTAGTGGAATCTTGACAGAAGTGGCAGACGTTTTTGACCACCAGAACGTAGCTACAGGAACAGCAGTGGTCTCTGTAGAACTGTACAGCTTTAGAAACCCCTAAAAACATGTTATTTAAAATCTCTAAAAACCCATTTCCCAATTCTCTCCCCCTTCCTGCTTCATCAAAAGCCCTGCTTTAGTTGACATGCAAATCCTGCTGGAAATTCTGAATGTGCTCCTTTTTCTGCCCCCATTCTCTGCCAAATACTTGTCAATAACATGATTATAAGTTGACCAGCCAACTCTTTCTTTGAAGCACAGGTGCATCTTTGTTGCTGCAGCCAGCCGCACGCAGCACTGCCCTGACAGCCTTTAAATTAAAAATTAATACCTATTTTAACTTACAAGCTTGTAAACGGATAGCCCCTTGTCTCTAACAACCCATCAAAGCTGCTCTCAAACATTAAAAACACAGATATTCATTCTCTTGTCTCAACAATCTTTTCTCCTTCAGACTTTGGAGTCCCCACAACAAACCTAAGGCAATCTCAGCCTTTCTGCAAACAGCTGATTTAGTGGACCTTTTTTATTAACAAAACCACATTGTTTTTAGACATTTAAATATAAAATAACCCTACCTCACTCTGTGTTAGAAACAGAAAGCCTGACAGCTTCCAAAAACAGATCAAAGTGTTTGACAGCTTTTTAAATACAACTTAAGAGAAAATTTTAGTGTGGCTGTAAAAATGCCCAAGAGATCGAACACTGCTGAAAGGTAAGTGCCCCGTCTTACTTATAATAGGAGGGTATTAAGATGCCTTTCAGAGAATCGGCATATGCACCCACATTGGTATCACCACGTTTTTTAGTGGTGGGCTGGAGAACTTCCCCTCACCACCACCACCACCTTCCAAATATTTGACACATGATACACCGTTGTGTTTTCACAAATTTCATTAGTACTCGTGAAGGACAAGCCTTGCGGAAAGGAGACAGGCCCTAATCACTCCCTTCTCCGATCACCGTATTCTCTGTTTTTGGAAGCTACTGAAACCCTTTCAAGACATACAAATTACATGAAATAGTGGTTAATTCAGGTTTTTTTCCTCTAATGCCCACTCCTCGTCTTCTCAGCCTTTCAAGTGAGAGAGAGAATGCTGAAAGAAGACTAGACTTCCGCCTCCCATTAGAAGGAAAAGAGAGGGTGAGTTTGAGGGGAGGAGAGGCACAAATATGGTATCTCATGCCCTCAGAATTAACATCTAGAACAGAGAGGAGACAGACGGGGGAAAGAGGGTGGGGTGTCTGTGGGACAAGTCCACTTAGTTCTTGTACTCAAAGGGCTCATCCCCAGTTTCGTTGAGGAGACAGGTGCGGACTAGCGCTTCGGTCACGGCGTAAGGGTCACAGTTGGCAGAGGGCCGGCGATCTTCAAAGTAGCCCTTCTTCTCTTGGCCCACACTTCTCGGGATGCGGATGCTGGCACCACGGTTGGCTACTCCAGCAGAGAACTCATTGATGTTGGAGGTCTCATGGAACCCGGTCAGGCGCCTGGCATTATCCAGCCCCCCTTTGGGATCATAGGCACGGATGTGGTACTGATGGCGCTTGCCTAGCTTCTCAATGGCTTCTTCAATGTGCCTGTGGTAAGGATGAAAGGCAGGATGTTCAATTCCTTCACATTTCTCTCTATAGCAGGATATTTATTTTATTTATATACTGCTTTTCTCAGCCCTCAGGCGACTCAAAGCGGTGAACAACATCAATACAAAACATCACAAGACAAGTATAGGGCAATTAAAAATTGTAACATAAATCATTAAACATCCGTATAGCAATAATTAGCGCCTCAACAGTAAAATCAGAATCCAGCCTCATCATCCATTATTCCATATTCCTATGTTCAATTACACTGTTTAATCAAAAGTTTGTTCTTCACTTTCCTCCGAAACACCAGCAGGGAGGGGGCCGATCTGATATCTGCAGGCAGGGATTTCCATAGCCGAGGGGCCACCACTGAGAAGGCCCTGTCTCTCGTTCCCGCCAAGCGTGCTTGTGATGCAGGCGGGACAGAGAGCAGGGCCTCCCCAGATGATCTTAGTGTCCTAGTTTGTTCAATAGGAGGAGATGCGTTCGGAGAGGTAAGTAGGGCCAGAACCGTTTAGGGCTTTATAGGCTAACAGCACTTTGAATTGTGCCCGGTAGCAAACTGGCAGCCAGTGGAGCTGGCGCAACAGAGGAGTAGTATGCTCCCTGAGTGCCGCTCCTGTTAGCAACCTGGCTGCCGAACGCTGGACCATTTGAAGCTTCCGAGCAGTCTTCAAAGGCAACCCCACATAGAGAGCATTGCAGTAGTCTATATGGGATGTAACCAGAGCGTGGACTACCGTGGCCAAGTCAGACTTCCCAAGTTTTAACTGTGCGAATGCTCCCCTGGTCACCGCTGAAACCTGGGGTTCCAGGCTCAGCGACGAGTCCAAGATCACACCCAAGCTGCGAACCTGCGTCTTCAGGGGGAGTGTGACCCCGTCCAACACAGGCTGTAACCTATGCCCTGTTCGGCCTTGCGACTGACCAGGAGTACCTCTGTCTTGTCTGGATTCAATTTCAATTTGTTCGCCCTCATCCGTTACAGCAGCCAAGCACTGGTTCAGGACCTGAACAGCCTCCTTAGTAGCAGGTGGAAAGGAGTGACAGAGTTGGACATCATCCGCGTACAGATGACATCGTACCCCGAAACTCCGGATGACCTCCCCCAGCGGCTTCATGTAGATGTTAAACAACATGGGAGACAATATTGATCCCTGTGGAACCCCACAAGACAATGGTTGTGGGGCAGAACAGGTGTCCCCCAGCAACACCTTCTGAGATCGACCCTCTAAGGAAGGACTGGAGCCACAGTACCTCCAAGGCCCATTCCCGCAAGGCGTCCCAGAAGGATACCATGGTCGACGGTATCGAAGGCCGCTGAGAGGTCCAGCAGAACTAACAGGGACACACTCCTCCTGTCTAGCTCCCGGCGAAGATCATCTACTAAGGCGACCAAGACTGTTTCAGTTCCATGTCCCGGCCTAAAGCCAGACTGTGCCGAATGCAGATAATCCGTGTCTTCCAAGAATATCTGGAGTTGTGAAGCCACCACGCGTTCCAGGACTTTCCCCAAAAAGGGGAGATTGGAAACTGGCCGATAGTTGACTAATTGAGTGGGGTCCAGTGATGGTTTTTTCAACAGCGGTTTTATTATAGCTTGTTTTAAGCTCGCTGGAATGCTGCCTTCCCGAAGGGAGGCATTAACCACCACCTTTACCCACTCGGTCAATCCCCCTCTGGCTTCCTTCAAAAGCCAGGATGGGCAGGGGACTAGGATGCATGTGGTAGGCCTCATTCCTCCAAGTATACTATAGCATTATCAAAGAGATCATTTAGCTGAACTGCATGTTATTAGAAGAACTATAGGACTGCCTGTGTATCACAATTTCATCAGTGTGCAAAAGTGTCTGTTAAGTATTTGGTCCATGACTTTAACCTAATAAGTCCAGATTGTACGCATGCATACCTTCAGGGGTGTGTGGTTATGAGCATGCATTTTATATGGAGCTGGGTGTTTCCATAAAGGTTGGAGAGAAATCTGTGTCTATTATGATATTTTGCAGTTCCACAAGACTAGATGATCAAGGGTCTGGAGAACAAGCCCTATGAAGAGCGGCTTAAAGAGCTGGGCATGTTTAGCCTGAAGAAGAGAAGGCTGAGAGGAGATATGATAGCCATGTGGTCCATGCTCTGGTTACATCCCGTATAGACTACTGCAACGCTCTCTACGTGGGGTTGCCTCTGAAGACTGCCTGGAAGCTGCAATTAGTCCAATGAGTGGCAGCCAGATTACTAACAAGAGCTGGGTACAGGGAGCATACTACTCCTCTGTTGCGCCAGCTCCACTGGCTGCCAATTAGCTTCCATATTTTAGGAATGTTCAAATATTTTAGAAATTTCCCTAGGCCACCTTTGCTCACTTGTTGTTGTTCATTCGTTCAGTCGTCTCCGACTCTTCGTGACCTCATGGACCAGCCCACGCCAGAGCTCCCTGTCGGCCGTTACCACCCCCAGCTCCCTCAAGGTCAGTCCAGTCACTTCAAGGAATGCCATCCATCCATCTTGTCCTTGGTCGGCCCCTCTTCCTTTTGCCTTCCACTTTCCCCAGCATAATTGTCTTCTCTAGGCTTTTCCTGTCTCCTCATGAAGTGGCCAAAGTACTTCAACTTTGTCTCTAGTATCCTTTCCTCCAGTGAGCAGTCGGGCTTTATTTCCTGGAGGATGGACTGGTTGGATCTTCTCGCAGTCCAAGGCACTCTCAGCACTTTCCTCCAACACCACAGTTCAAAAGCATCGATCTTCCTTCGCTCAGCCTTCCCTAAGGTCCAGCTCTCACATCCGTAGGTTACTACAGGGAATACCATGGCTTTGACTAGGCGGATCTTTGTTGCCAGTCTGATGTCTCTACTCTTTACTATTTTATCGAGACTGGACATTGCTCTCCTCCCAAGAAGTAAGCGTCGTCTGATTTCCTGGCTACAGTCTGCATCTGCAGTAATCTTTGCACCTAGAAATACAAAGTCTGTCACGGCCTCCACGGTTTCTCCCTCTATTTTCCAGTTGTCAATCATTCTTGTTGCCATAATCTTGGTTTTTTTGATGTTTAGCTGCAACCCGGCTTTTGCGCTTTCTTCTTTCACCTTGATTAGAAGGCTCCTCAGCTCCTCCTCGCTTTCGGCCATCAGAGTGTGTCATCTGCATATCTGAGGTTGTTAATGTTTCTTCCAGCAATTTTCACCCCAGCTTTGCATTCATCAGCCCCGCACATCGCATGATGTGTTCTGCATACAAGTTAAAAAGGTTGGGTGAGAGGATGCAGCCTTGCCGTACGCCTTTCCCAATCTTGAACCAGTCTGTTGTTCCGTGGTCAGTTCTGACTGTTGCTACTTCGTCCTTGTACAGATTCCTCAGGAGAGAGACAAGGTGGCTTGGTATGCCCATCCCACTAAGAACTTGCCACAATTTATTATGATCCACACAGTCAAAGGCTTTAGAATAGTCAATGAAACAGAAATAGATGTTTTTCTGAAACTCCCTGCCTTTCTCCATTATCCAGCGGATATTGGCAATCTGGTCTCTCGTTCCTCTGCCTTTTCTAAACCCAGCTTGAACATCTGGCAACTCTCGCTCCATGTATTGCTGGAGTCTTCCTTGCAGGATCTTGAGCATTACCTTACTGGCATGAGAAATAAGGGCCACTGTACGGAAGTTTGAGCAGTCTTCCGCATTTCCCTTTTTTGGTATGGGGATATAAGTTGATTTTTTCCAGTCTGATGGCCATTCTTGTGTTTTCCATATTTGCTGGCAAATGGCATGCATCACCTTGACAGCATCATCTTTTAAGATTTGCTCACTTACATATGTAAAATCATAGTCACACATACAACTTTGGAGGCTGAATATGGAAAAGACATTCTAGCTAAGCCCGTTCCTCTTGTGAGTTCTTCACTTGCAAAATTTAAAAAGCTTGCAGATCCACATCAACTACTTTCTGAAGTCCTCCAGCATATTCTACCCTTTAGAACAGGGGTCCTCAAACTTTTTAAACAGAGGGCCAGGTAATAGTCCCTTAAACTGTTGGAGGGCCGAATTGTAATTAAAAAAAACAACAACAAAAGATATGAATGAATTCCTATGTACACGGCACATATCTTACTTGTAGTGCAAAAAAACACTTTAAAACAATACAATAATTAAAATGAATTTTAATTTTAACAAATATAAACTTATTAGTATTTCAATGGGAAGTGTGGGCCTGCTTTTGGCTGATGAGATAAGATTGTTGTTGTTGTTGTTGTGTGCTTTCAAGTCGTTTCAGACTTAGGTTGACCCTGAGCGAGGGCCGGTTAAATGACCTTGGAGGGCTGTATCTGGCCCCGGGCCTTAGTTTGAGGACCCCTGCTTTAGAATGTGAAGGACACATTCTAAACACTCATCTTTTTTTGTCTCTATAATGTCTCATAAACAAAGCTTTGTAAGTGGGCAGCAAGACTTACTTGAGGCCTCCTTCCTCTCGCATGGCTTTAGTACTGAAGTTCGTGTGGCATCCAGCTCCATTCCAGTTGCCTGGGATGGGCTTCGGGTCGAAAGACACAATGACCCCAAAGTCTTCACATACTCTATGAAGGATGAACCGAGCAATCCAGAGGTGATCACCCATCTCAATTCCTTCACATGGACCCACCTGGAACTCCCACTACAAGAGAAAACAAAGCCACTCAGGATTGGCATGGTGGAAAGCCCTCTGCAAGATGCTGTTCACACTTCTCCCCAAATTCTAAACAAGCAAAGATTCCTAAAACACCCATTACAGGACTTTGGTCCAAGCAGCTACCTGTGCTGGCATAACTTCTGCGTTTGTGCCACCAATGTTTACACCAGCATAGAGGCAGGCTCGATAGTGGGCTTCCACAATGTCTCGCCCATAAGCCTTGTCTGCTCCAACTCCGCAGTAGTATGGGCCTGCAGAAAAGGGCAAAAAGGAAAAGGTATCAGTGGGTTTTTTGACGTCTTTTAACCATGTTTGTGAATTGGACATTTTGCAAAGTCCTTGGATCACATTCATCTGGACCATTATGTTTTAAGTAAGCCTGAAGTCACACTAGCCATTGGTTGTGGTGTTTCTAAACCATTCATTTGCTAGATTACAACTCGGATTTTGCACCTGAGGTATATCCAGCATAGCTTAGCTTTAAATGATTTTGATTAGAGAACCCACTTGGGTACATTTGGAGAAAAGGAAAAATACCAGCTCATCTTTCAGTCTTGTATTACATTCTAGAGAGCTGCTGCCTCAGTAACCAAAAGGTCATGAGTTCGAAACCAGCCCAGGTTGGAGTGGGTTTCCAACCAATTGTGTGTAGCCTGTTGTCAACCTTTGCAACCCGAAAGACAGTTGCATCTGTCAAGTAGGAAAATAAGGTACCACCTTAAAGTGTGAGGAGGCTAAATTAACTGATTTATGAGGCCATAAAGAAGACTCTAGCAAAGCATTCCAGCGGGGAATGCGGAAGTGCTTCATCAGCGTCACAGATGGACGATGAAAGAGACAGCTCCCCTGGCGGCCAGAAAAAAGTTAAATAGCCTCTGTGTATGTCTGTATATGTTTGTATGTCAAAAATTGGCATTGAATGTTTGCCATATATGTGTACACTGTAATCCGCCCTGAGTCCCCTGCGGGGTGAGAAGGGCAGAATATAAAAGCTGTAAATAAATAATAAATAAATAATAATGCTTGTGTCCCACTATACCCTATTAGATTATCTAATATTTTGTCATTGTTTTGTTTTATTTTAAACAGGTGTACAGCAAAATTGCCGCATGTGTGAACCATCCCATAGCAGCATTGCTTTCAAAGTGAACACATAAATCTGGGTCAGGTAGGTTCCCAAAACTGTTTCAAGACCTTTCGGAGGATAGCTGCACCATCACCCCGAAAACAAAATGGGAAGTAGTTGGAAATCATGTCCAGTTAGAGACTAACACAATTATTTCTAAAAGTGGGGGAAAAAACATAAAATTTATTTATTTATTTACTTTACTTATATACCGCTTTTCTCAGCCCTCAGGCGACTCAAATGGATTTTCTGCTAAAAGAAACAAAGTGGACACACCATTTTTAAATGAGAACCATGTCTCCCACAGCAACCTGACCATTTTAGGCAGCATGGGACACATTTCTGGCCAACCGTACTTTGGGAGAACGTATTGACGTGGATGAGTAGGACCGTTTTAAATGGTGTATTTTAATATTTTGATAAATGTTTTTAATGTTTATGTATGTATATAAGAATTTGTGTCCCGGCATTGAATGTTTGACGTATATATGCTGGGCTCCGCCCTGAGTCCCCTTCGGGGTGAGAAGGGCGGAATATAAATGTTTTAAATAAATAAATAAATAAATAAATTCTTCCATTTTAAAGGCTTCTATTATTTATCATGGATTCCTTTCACTGAGGATTTTGCAGCTTTCTTTTGCCCATCTAGCTCATCATGATAATATCATTGGCTGCTGCCAAAATCCCCATTATTGGTGACAGGGTTCCTCCTGGTGATATGAATGTTCCCATCTCTTTTGAGACTACAAATGTAAGATTTTAAGTGGGCTTCCCTTTTTAGAAATCTCACCTTGGGGTCCAGGAAAACCATTGGAAGGCCAGCCAAAGGGATGTCCATCTGTTCCCAGAAGAGTATATTCTTGCTCCATCCCGAACCAAGGAGTCTGATTAGACACCATATCCATGATTCTTGCACAGCTGTTCCTTATATTTGTTTCTAAGAGAAAGAGAGAGTAAGGCAATCATGATTATTCATACACCATCATGGAGTTTTTCAAGTTTTTATGACACACACACACAAATCAGCCAGCATCATGTATGAACAATTTTGAGCCCCACAGATGTTTTGGCTTGCAGTTCCATCCAGATCCCTCAATGGAAAGTGTTACATATGTGACACTTGGCTTTTAAGTCCTGATTCTTCCTCTCAAAAACGGCCCATTCCCCCAGGTCTTCTCTTTTAAGATACAATACAAAAGAGGCAATTTTCACATCCTAGAGCAGTGGTTCTCAACCTGGGGTCCCCAGATTTTTTTGGCCTACAACTCCCAGAAATCCGAGCCAGTTTACCAGCTGTTAGGATTTCTGAGAGTTGAAGGCCAAAAACATCTGGGGACCCCAGGTTGAGAACCACTGTCCTAGAGGATCCCTAAACCCTCTAAAAATTTACAGATTATGAGTACCCCACTTACTGAGTAGAGGTAAGGATGAATCTAAGTGAATACAACTAAGGACAAAGATCTATGGTGAAACAAGAGCTTTATAAAAGATGTGAACTTAGGTGGGTTTTAAACATGTATGTGTCATACTTGATAATAACAATAATAAAAACTTTATTTATACCCCGCCACCATCTCCCCAACTTGGGGCGGCTTACATGAGGCCAAGCCCATACAACAAATTATAATAAAATAAGATACAAGTTACAATAAAATAAACAACATCGCAGAAAAATACAGAACATATGACTACAATAGAAAAAATAATGATTAAAAAAACCAAACATAATGACAGTGAGCGGGCCACATGTACATAAAATGATTAAAAACTCAGGGTGAGATGAAGGAGCAGAATTATTTGTGAGTGAGAAATCATAGAGAGACAGGGTGATAGACTCAGTTTGGGTTCACAGGAGGAGTGCAGCAAAACCAGTCTCTGAAGTTCAACGCATCTAACTATTCTTTGTAATGAATTCTTCCTAACTGCTCAGTAATTTTACATGGGCTCATTTACTGCCCACATTCAGGCTGAAGCTCCTCAAGTGCCACCCCCCCACCCGAAATTCTCATGGTGGTTCGTGAGAAGGCCTTAGTGGTACATGATTTAAACTGTTATGTTTATTCATATCATGAGCTGATCACCATGCTCAATATATCCCATATGCATGGGAGTGTTGGGGTAATGATACAAAAGGTTTGCTAGGGTAGACCCTCTTTCACTCAGACTCAGCCCCCGCCCCCCCAAAAAATCAAAATCCTGGCTACAGGCCTGCCCACATTCATTCAAAAAAGCTATCTAGAGTGGGTTTTGCACCTCACAACTCAACCAGTTTGAGCACTGAAGAGGTAAATGATGCAGATATTGACAATGCTAGAACGACTACCTTTGACAAGAGCATTATCACCATAGCTACTGCAATATAAAGGCTCCGAAATGCTAAGGAAGGTGAAGCAAGGGTTAAAAGAGTAGAAGAATATTTAGTATTCTGTGTGTGAGAAGCAAAAATAAAAAAAAACTTTGCATGTGATCATCAGACCAGCTGATGAGCAATCAGCTGGTGCAGTTGAAAGAATGAACGTCTTGTGGTTTGGGAGGGGGGAGAAGAAAGGCTTACTGGTTTCATTCTGACAACGGCATACTATGCTTGTGAATTTCCACAGGCATTTGGCTCTCTTTTACTCAAAAAGAAATGTCAGACTGGACTTGTTTTGATATACCAAAGAAATAACTTACGTTCTTATTTAACTACAGTACCAATATAATGGATGGCTCAGAGTTAGAAGCCAATTAGTACATTAATACAATTAATTGCAATCACATTGTTGCAGCTAGAGATGAATTACATTAACATAACTAGCCGTCCCCTGCCACGCATTGCTGTGGCCCACATGGGGGTTCTGTGTGGGAGGTTTGGCCCAATTCTATCGTTGGTGGGGTTCAGAATGCTCTGTGATTGTAGGTGAACTATAAATCCCGGGAACTACAACTCCCAAATGACAAGATTCTATTTTCCCCAAACTCCACCAGTGTTCATATTTGGGCATATTGAGTATTCTTGTAGAGTTTGGTCCAGATCCATCATTGTTTGAGTCCACAGTGATCTTTGGATGTAGGTGAACTACAACTCGAAAACCAAAGGACACTGCCCACCAAACCCTTCCAGTATTTTCTGTTGGTCACGGGAGAACTGTGTGCCAAGTTTGGTTCAATTGCATCGTTGGTGGGGTTCAGAATGCTCCTTGATTGTAAGTGAATCCCAGCAACTACAACTCCCAAATGATAAAATCAATTTTTTGAGTGAAGGACATACATTGGGTTGTTAAGTGTCTTGTGTCCAAATTTGGTGTCAATTTGTCCAGTGGTTTTTGAGTTCTGTTAATCCCGCAAACGAACATTACATTTTTATTTATAGTTGGTCCCTACTGGAGTAAAGTCTCAGATGAGATGTTGAGAAGTAATGGACCAAAAATCTGAAAGTATCACATTTAACAAGGACCTCATGTTACATGAGCAGTGTCATGTCGCAAATGCCAAATCAAATGTTGGTGAATTTGAAAGATTATTTACCAGATGGTTATGAAACCGCATCATAAGCCACTACTCTAGATTGTTCTGTCAAATGACAAGGAAACATTACATCCAGGGCTGAGCTGGAATGTTGTTGTTACACTCTTTCAAATGATTTCCAGCTTATGGTGATGCCAGGCAACCCTGGTAACAGGGTTTTCTTGACAATATCTATTCAGAGAGTTTGCCTTTCCCTTCTTTGGAGGCTAAGTAAGACACATCCAAGACCACCCATTCGCTTTCCATGGCTGAGTGGGGATTCAAACTCTGTTCTCTACTATTATAGCCTAATGCTCAAACCACTATACCATGATAACTTAAGCTGAAACATGCTGGCTAGCAAATTCTGGGAGCTGCAGCTCAAAAAGTAATACTTCCAAGATAATACAGGCAGTCCTCAACTTGAATTTGTCTGTAAGTCAGAACAGGTACATTTTTAAGTGGAACTCCAGCCAAATATAAACATATTTTAGCTTTGAATAGCAAGGGGAAGGGATTCATACCACTGTGGTGTTTGTTTTTTGCTCTCTGTCCCTGTTCAGAAGATTTCACTTTCTGTCCCTGAGATAATTGGATTTTGAAAAAAATGGCTTGTTGTGGAAACAAGGATTGGTAATAAAGCTTCGGTGGACACACATTTTCCCCATGAGAACTTTTTCAGGGGTGAATTTCACTTCCAAAGGGATAGATTTCTCTCACTTCCTGTTGTCTCACCACCATTCTTAACTATGAGTTATTTGTAAGTTGGATCTTTGGAATCTGGGGCCTGTCTGAATAGTAAAAGGGGAAAATGGGGGTCTTGAAAGTTGCAGCAAGAAGAGCTCTTTGTGGCTAGCAGTTGCTTTCTTTTAAAAAGAAAATGACATTGGCACAACTGGCTGGGCGTCAGCTGCATTAAGATCACTACTGACCAAAAGATAATGAGTTCGAAGCCAGCCTGGGTCGGAGTAAGCTTCCGACCGAATTTTGTAGCTTGTTGTCAACCTTTGCAACCCGAAAAACAGTTACATCTCTCAATTAGGAAATTTAGGTACCACCTATGTGTGGGGAGGCTAATTTAACAAATTTATGAGGCCATAAAAAATCTCCAGCAAAAGCATGCGGGGAATGCAGAAAGTACTTCATCAGTGGGTTGTTGTAGGATTTTCCGGGCTATATGACCATGTTCTAGAGGCATTTTCTCCTGACGTTTCGCCTGCATCTATGGCAAGCATCCTCAGAGGTAGTGAGGTCTGTTGGAAGTAGGAAAATGGGTTATATATCTGTGGAATGACCAGGGTGGGACAAAGGAATTTTGTCTGCTGAAGCTAGAGAAAATGCCTCTAGAACATGGCCATATAGCCCAGAAAAACCTACAACACCCCAGTGATTCCGGCCATGAAAGCCTTCGACAATACTTCATCAGTGTTGCAGATGGACGGTGAAGCAACATCTCCCCTGGTGGCCAGGAAAGTTGGAATGTTAAATAGCTTCTGACTGTCTGTCTATATGTGTTGTGTGTCTATGGCATTGAATGTTTGCCATGTATGTGTACATTGTAATCCGCCCTGTGTCCCCTGCAGGTGAGAAGGGCGGAATAAATACTGTAAATAAATAATAAATAAATAATCCATGTCATAATTACTTTGTGTGAAAGAGCCTCTTGGTTTAAAAGGGGGAGGGGGTGAAGGAGAGAGATTCACTAGCTGGTATTTTGTAGTCTGAGCAAGGAGGCTTCAAGAGTAATGGTGGCCCACGTTAGAAATTAACCTCCATGGACTTTAAATATGTCCACTTCCTATTAGTCTCATTCATTTCTTCTAGTGCTAGTGTTCTTTGCTTTTCTCAGGTATGTCAGGACAGAAAAGGAGATAACAGGAACATACCTGCAGGCTTGCGGTTGTACTTTAAGACCTCGCAGAGAACCAGCTTGTTGGGGTCTTTGCGGAAAGGGTCCCGGAACATGGCAGAAGGCACAAGATACATGTCACTGTTGGAGCCCTCGGACTGGTAGGTGCTGGAGCCATCAAAGTTCCACTCTGGTAGATCTGGAAGCAAAAGAAGAAGAATGGAGCCTCACTGTTTCCCAGACACATAGAAAAGGGGCTTTTTGTGAATTGACATTGCTCCAACCAATAATCATGACTGGAAATATTAGCCCCCTCATTGTTTATTTCTCTGTCTCTCTATGAGTTATCCCTTACAAACAGTTCTGCTCCTTTATCTCACCCTGAGTTTTTAAATCATTTTATGTACATGGAGCCCACTCTCTGTCATTATGTTTTGGTTTCTATATTTTGTGTATATTGTTTATATGCTTTGATGTTTTATACTTTATTGTTATGTTTATTTTACTGCAATTTGTATTTTTGTATTGTAATTTGTTGTTCGGGCTTGGCCCCAGGTAAGCCGCTCCGAGTCCCCATTGGGGGAGATGGTGGCAGGGTATAAATAAAGATGATGATTATTATTGTTATTATTGTTATTATTGTTATTATTATTATTATTATTATTATTATTATTATTTCCTATTACATTGCTGTCATGGTCATTTTTTATATTTACAACTAAATTGCAATAGGTGCCATTGGTCTCTAAAACAAGGAATGAAAACCCCATTGACTAGTATCTTGACACTGGCAAGATTATCATAGAATACATTTTGATCTCTCTTCAAAGGAGGAAGTTGTTGCAGTTATATCCCAGCAAACAATTTGGTAAATCATTAAGAAATCTGGACAGACACATCTGTCTTGTGGCACAGAACTGGGGTTGTGAAGAATCTCCATTTTCTCTCTCTCTCTCTCTCTCTCTATATATATATATATAAATAAAATAGTTTTCTTACAATTGTATAATTAAAAGTAAGAGGGGAAAAGTGGATTTTAGGATAGAACAGTGGTTCTCAACCTTCCTAAGGCTGCGACTCCTTAATACAGTTCCTCATTTTGTGGTGACCCCCAACTCTAAAATTATTTTCGTTGCTACTTCATAACTGGAATTTTGCTGCTGTTATGAATCGACATGTAAATATCTGATAGGCAGAATATATTTTCATTCTCTGGACCTTGGAAGTTGTAGTTGCTGGAATTTATAGTTCACCTACAATCAAAGAGCATTCTGAACTCCACCAGAGATGGAAATGATCCAAACTTGGCACACAGAATGCCCATGACCAGCAAAAAATAATGGGGTAGGTGAACATTGGCCTTGAGCTTGGAAGTTGTAGTTCACCTATATTCAGAAAGCACTGTGGACTCAAACAATGATAGATCTCTAAACTTGGCACGAATACTTAATATTCCAAAATGGGGACACTGGTGGAGTTTGGGGAAAATAGACCTTCAAATTTGGAAGTTGTAGTTGCTTGGATTTGTAGTTCACCTACAATGAAAGAGCATTCTGAACCCTACCAACGATAGACTTGTGCCAGACTTCCCACACAAAACTCCCATGACCAGCAGAAAATACTGTGTATCCTGATGGTCTTTGGCGACCCCTCCAACACCCCTTCGCGACCCCCCCAGGGGTCCCGACTCCCAGGTTGAGAAACACTGGGATAGAAGGTAGGGTGGAATAGGGGAGGGAAGAGTCAGGAAAAGGGTAAAAAGGATCAGATCCAGGACTAGTGTTGGATGTGAAGGGGATTGTTTGGGTCATGGAAAAAAAAGAAAGGGGATCTGGGGAGGGAGGGGGAGGAGGGTGCGTAGATTGTGAAGGGGATTTCTGACTCCATTTTCTTAATGTCAATATGGAAAATTCTCAGAAAAACTTGCACATATTTTAAAATAATTCTAAAGTTCCTTCCTTAACTGCCTCACACATTTCCATATGTTGCCTCCACATTATTTTTTTACCAACTAATTACATCCTCACCAAAAAACTGAGCAAAGGGTACATTAAATTAAAAAAAAACCTGAAGAGCTGCAAACTGAACTCCATGCAAGTTGCAAAGGATTCAAGTTTTGTTATTGTGAAGCTTCGATTATAGTGCAGCACAACTTATGACTGTACAACCAAGTATGTCAGCACCCCAAAGAGAATTAGGTGACACAGAAGCATATTTGAAATGGAATTAAAGTGGTTAATCCCTCCATCCAACTTGATCCCTTTCATATGCTTGAGGTGATGCAATTATTTAACCAAGCACTGCCAGCCACCTCTTCAGAATAACAACAAAGCACCCAAGCTAAATACCTCTAATTAGCCATACATGCTGTATTGGTTTCATAACTATCTCTGGCCAGCTCCATGGAAAAGTTGAAGAAATTCCAATGCTATTTATTGTTTGGGGGGGGGGTGATTTATTCTGAAGGACTCTCATGGTTTCCCTCCCACTCTTTTCCCAACCTATCATAGTCCAAAAAACGAATAGTATAACATTAAAAACTGAGCAAGCCAACAAGAAGACAGACAATGTAAGGACTTTTCAGGTCACAGCTCCATACCCATCTGGTTCATTTAAGTTTGTATATGACTTTTGTTTGGTAGATGGATTCTAAATGGATTGACATGCATTAATGTGGATGGATCTGCAAAAATATCTATAATAATAATAATAATAATAATAATAATAATAATAATAATATACCGCTCCAGCTCCCCGAGGGGACTCAGAGCGGTTCCCAGGTAACATCACAAAACATACAAAGTAAAACAACATAACCATAAGATTAACAAAACAATATAAGCATAAAAATTGTCGCCCTAACACACATATATTAAAAGTAATCCTGCATTTTCAAGGCAATTTTAAAATTTAAAAGGCCGGGTCAAGATTTGTGCCAGCCCAAAAATTCTAGAGGGCCCGGGAATTAAGTGCAACGCTATGGCAGACAATAATATTAGGTACGGGTCTGTGGCTGTTCATTCGGGGGCTGATCAGAAGAAGTGATCTGGGTAATTGGTAGGAAGAATAAGGCCGCATTCAACAATGTGTAAGACTGAGTTAGAACTGGTCATTTTCAAAGGCTTGTTGAAACCACCAGGTCTTCAAGCTCTTACGAAAGGAGGGGAGGGATGGGGCCTGTCTTATTTCCCCGCTTTCCAGAGGCAGGGGGGCACCACCGAGAAGGCCCTCTCTCTCGTCCCCACCAACCGTGCTTGTGACGGAGGTGGGACCAAGAGGAGGGCCTCCCCGGAAGATCTAAGAGTTTGTGCGGGTTCATAGAGGGAGATGCGATCACGGAGATTGGTGGGGCCCGAACCATTTAGGGCTTTATAGGTCATGACCTGCACCTTGAATTTGGCTCGGCATCTTATAGGCAGCCAAGGAAGCTGTTTTAATATGGGTGTTGTATGCTCCCTATAGTTTGCTCCAGTAAGGAGCCTTGGCTGCCGTCCGTTGTACCAGTTGAAACTTCCGGCCTGTCTTCAAGGGCAGCCCCACGTAGAGCGCATTGCAATAGTCCAGTTTTATATTTACAACTAAATTGCAATAGGTGCAATCTATGCAGAAGCCAGAGCAAGGATACCAAAAATTTGCTTTAAAAATATCTGTTCAAAAGCCCCTTCCACTAAGTGACCTATTTTTGTAATACTGCCACCCATGGAAAAACATTATATGGAAAAAGGGACACAGGAGGGTTTAAAAACAGAGTCGTATAGAGAAGAGAGTCACTATTCTTGAGGGCAGGAGCTCAACAGATGCTGGAAATAATAGTCTGACTGTTATGAAGGTAACTGGGTAAATAGTGTAAGAACTCAAAGAGTGGGAGGAAAAAAATTAAATAAATAGCTAGAGGAATGGCTAATGGTTTCAGATTTCTCTACACTAATAAACAGAGCATGGGAAATAAGCAAGATGAACTTGATCTCCCAGAAAAGCAGTATGATACAACAGACATCACTGAAACCTAGGGGGATGAATCTCATGAATGGAAGGTAGTAATAAAGGGTTATAACCCATTTTTAGAGAAATAGACCAAACAGGCAAGGAGAGGGAGGAGCATTATATATCAAGGATGTTTATATATGTGCAAGTGTATCATAAATCCTGGAAAACAAGTTGAAAATTCCCAGATATAAATTAAGGAGCAAGAAACAGATGTCATTGTGAGGGTCTACTTCAGATCTATCTTAGACCTGATCTAACTTTTGCTATTGTTAACCGCTCTGAGTCGCCCAAGGGCTGAGAAGAGCGGTATACAAATATAGAAAATAATAATAAAAAAATAACCAGATCTGGGTAAAAAAATTGTCAGGAGCAACTTGAGAAACTGCAAGTCACTTCTGGTGTGAGATAATTGTCCATCTGCAATGGCTTTGCCCAGGAGACGCTGGGATGTTTTGCTGTTTTACCATCCTTGTGACAGGCTTCTCTCATATCCCCGCATGAGGAGATGGAGCTGACAAACGGGAGCTCAACGCACTCTCCCCAGATTTAAACAGGTTGAGCTCCTTCTGTCAGCCCATTATCTGGTTAAAATTGTGGAAGTGGTGGAATCCTAAGGTGGGAGTAGCCCTGTTTTCCTAGAGTTTGTTATATAGTGAAAAGAGGAAGCCAAGCATAGTCAGACACACTGTTGTAGTTCAGCGTGATGGTAACGTTACTACTACTGGTAGAAGGGAGAAGAGGTCTGCGCAGGAGTTGGAGGAGGAACAGCAGCGAAAATGGATTATGGAGATAATCATGGCTCCAAGTGATTCGGAGATGTTTGAGGGCTTCTCCGATTGTGAAATGGGGGATGGGGAGGAGAGCAGGGGAGTAAAGTGGGCTACTTGCGATCAAGAGTCCGATGAAGAGCTTCAAAGGAAGCGTATTCGGGAAATACTTAGCACTCCTACAGAGGACGAGGACTTCATGGGATTTGAAAGGAGTGATGGGTCTGGGAGTGGTGTGGGAGAGGAGGATGAGCTGGATTGGACCCGTGTTCAGGAGATTAGGGATATTTGTAACCAACCCACCTCCAGTGATGAATTTGAGGGGTTCACAGGGGATTGGCAACCGGGGAGCACTTGGCAAGACCTAAGTCTTGACAGACGCTGGCAGAGGTGGAGGGATGGGCACTCGGGTTCAGCTGTGGGGATGGAGGCAGCTGAGAGCGATGAGGAAAGGGTGGGGAGCTCATCATCCTCTAATGAGGAGCTGTAGGATAAAAGTGGGTTTTGATTGTATGGCTCTTTGCAGAAAGCAAAGTGTCTGTTTTGGGATGTGAATCTTTGTTACTGCCAACTCTCGAGCTTGGGTCCTTGGACTACAGATTCCTGTGTTCCTGTGTTTACCTTAACTCAGCGGCTTGACTTTGGACTGGTTTGACCATGCTTTTGCTATCTGGACTTAAACAACTTGTTAACTTCGTGTTTTGACCTTGCAATGCTTTTTGGACTTCGTTTTGTGCCTCATGTTCTTGTGCTTTTGAACTGTGTGAATTTTGGAGCAGATTGCTGAATATTTTTGTTAACCCGGATTTAACAGCGGTATAATCCAGGTTATATTTGAGTTACTCGTATCAGCTCGTTTTTGATGCCTATTTACTGCCAGAGTTTACTCCACTGAATTAAAGTGCTTAACGGACTTCTTTTTGTATAATAAAACTGTGTTTAAACCTTTTCCTTTGTATTTGGCTTACTGAGGCTTCTGGGTCTTGATTTTAAGAAAGCTTATTTCAGTAAACATAGAGAAATATTGGTTGTGATCCTATGGTCAAGAATACTAAAAGAGAAAGAAGTTAGTAATAGAGAGAAGTTTCTTAAAGGGGAGATTTTAAAAGCACAATCTCAAGTAGCTCCTATAAGAAGGGAAAATGCAACATGTCCAAAGAAACCAAAATGGATGTCTACAGAATTTTCAACTGAGCTAAGATTTAAAAGGGATTTGTGCAAAAAAAGGAAAATCACCAAAGGATATAAACAAATAGTTAGTCAGAAATCTAAAAAAAAAAGGTTAAAAACAATAATTGACCAAATCAAAACAGTGCTCTCTGACTAGTGGAGTGCCATGGGGTTCTGTTCTGTGTCCACTTATTTACCATTTTGGCTTGGATGGTTGAATAGCTTATTAAATGTGATAATCATACCAAACTGGAATGGGTAGCTAATACCGCCCAAAAAGCAAATGTAATTCTAGCCTGCTTTAATATTCTACTTAAACACTAGGAAGTAAGAATTGCCTTGGAGTGTGATGGAATCTTCTTTTCTGGAGGCTTTTAAACAGAAGTTGGGGTGGTTATCTCTCAGCAATGCTTTGATTGTATATTCCTGCATAGAAGGGGTTTGTCTGGGTGATATCTTGTGGTCTCCAATTCTGTGATTCTATGACACGGTCGCAGAATACAATTAAATGGGAAAGAATAAAACTACCTTGGGGAATAGGGCAAATAAAGACTTTTAACACAGTGCTGATTAGTGATGTGCTGTTGGCCTCTTAGATGTACTCTGCTCAGGAGGCCACCCCACAGAATATGGAATATGGATAAGGTGTATTTCAACCAAGACATGTAGCTGGGGGAGGGCTTGAGGGGCTCAACCCCCCCCCCCCCAAATTCTCAGGGTGGTCCGCGAGAAGGCCTTACTGGTACATTATTTAAACTGTTATGTTTATTCATATCATGTTCTGACACCATTGGGTGTCATGCCAATGCATTCATAGAAAAGAAGATAATAAGAGGAGGCATCAAGTAGAGTAGGGACAGGAACTATGAATGGTTTAGCCCTCACCAATGCTAGTAAGACTGCAATTTTACAATTCCTTACCATTAACTATTCCGGCTAGGCAAAATGGGAGTTACAGTCCAATAACATTTGGAAGGTGATACAATTCCCACCCTAAAATTAAGATTTTGGAAGAGGGAAATTTATTGAACGATAGGGAAAAATAGATGGAGCTTTTTGGAAAATGGGATATTAACGGCACAGTACCAGAGAGGTCTACCCAGGAGTGAACCCTATTGATTTGACTTGGAAAGCACCAGGCGCAGGGCTTTTTCTATTTCTGCCCCTGCTTTGTGGAATTCCTTGCCGCCTTACATGAGAGCCATGCGTGACTTAGGGCCTTTTACTCTCGCACTTAAGACCTGGCTTTTTACTAGAGCATTCGATCTCTGTTGATTTTTAATTTTTGTATGTATGTATTTTATCTTTTGTAATTTAGCTGTAAATCGCCTGGAGCATTCTCGGATGGAGGGTGATTAATAAGTTATTAAATGATGATGACGATTTCAATGGGGGTTACTCTCAGTCTGTGTATGTCACCGCCTGGACATGCACATGTATGTACTGTGACTTCTTCTGGCAAAACATCTTTAAGACTGTATTTATTATTTATTTATTTATTTCGGGTATGTCTACTCCGCCCTTCTCAACCCCCGAAGGGGGACTCAGGGCGGCGTCCAACCGGCATACGTTGATACCTACAATTCACACAGTAAAATACATAGTAATAATAAATTATAACAGTTAAAACATTACATCAATACAATAAAAATACAATAAAATGCCAGCCTGGTGGCCATCGTTTTGACAAGTCCGTAATTAACTGTCCTGCATACTGGGCATCAGCTCACAAAAGCTTTGAATAATCCATGATATTTTTATTTTTCTATATCAGTCCCATTGAAATGTTTTAAATAAATTCTTTTAAGCCATTTTGGCTCAGCTGCATTACTGAATTGAGGAATTAAGGTTACAAGTGGCCTTCCCTGTCTTCAAAGCTGAATTCACCTAAAGAGCTTTGAGAAAATGCAAGCTTAACTGCAAAAAAAAAAAAAATCAACTCTAGATAGCTTTGCCATTTTCCTTGTGCTCAGTGCCACCCTATGCATATCTTTTACCCAAGTTAACCCTGCTTTGCAAATTACTTCTGAAGACTTGGAAGCTTTGATAAAACATTACAGTTTGTCTCACCTTGCTGGAAAAGAAGTCAGCATAACAAACACAACATAAAGTCAGTGTTGGCCATCTCCTACCCAATCATATAATGTCCAATGGAGCTGCTTTGTCATTCTCAACAATACAGCAAAGGAATAATTACCTGGATTGCCCAAGCTTGAAAAAAAAATTTGGACTTACCTTCAATGTTCTTGGGCTCATGATCCAGTGTCCGGGTCTTACAACGCAGAAACTCGCCAGTCCCATCTATCCAGATGTACATAGCTTGCACCTTGTCCCCCTGAGGCAGCTTCATGTACACATGCTTTATAGCTTTGCTCAAATGGGAACTCGCAGAGGTGGCCATGGCGGCAAAAGTCTTCCTGAAATCCTACAAAATGAGCAAGAGGGGAAAAAGAGGAGGGAATGTCCATAAAAACTTCCAAATGTATTCTTACCAAACGTCAGATGGGGGCATTTCGACACATGGGATTTAGATCCAGACAGATTAAGTTGACCTGATTTACCAGGAAACTCTTCACACCTGATTAGAAACCATGAACAAATTCTGCAGCTGCTACAAGTCATCGTGTTTCTCCTGGAGGGCTTCCAGTCACTTTCGCCAGCTAAAAAATTCAACTCCTATTGGACGGCTGGACCATAAAAAGGGTCACACATTGAAAGTACTTTGCTAAAGCTCATTTACATATGTTTCATGATCAATCTATATTTGATCCAAACCTCAACTGATTGAGTGACGAACATGTCTGGGACAAGTTATCTTAAAAAATGTGACAAGGCAAACATCATATAGTTGAGCAATGGTGCCATTCAAAATGAGAATTTGAAAAATTAGTGGGTTGTTGTAGGTTTTTTTGGGCTATATGGCCATGTTCTAGAGGCATTGTCTCCTGACGTTTCGCCTGCATCTATGGCAAGCATTCTCAGAGGTATGAGGATACCTCTGAGGATGCTTGCCATAGATGTAGGCAAAACGTCAGGAGACAATGCCTCTAGAACAGAGGTCCTCAAACTTTTTAAACAGAGGACCAGGTCATAGAATCATAGAGTTGGAAGAAACCACATGGGCCATCCACCCCCTGCCAAGAAGCAGGAATATTGCATTCAAATCACCCCTGACAGATGGCCATCCAGCCTCTGTTTAAAAGCTTCCAAAGAAGTAGCCTCCACCACACTCCAGGGCAGAGAGTTCCACTGCTGAACGGCTCTCACAGTCAGGAAGTTCTTCCTCATGTTCAGATGGTCACAGTCCCTCCAACTGTTGGAGGGCCGGATTATAATTTGAAAATATATATATGAATGAACTCCTATGCACACTGCACATTATTTTATTTGTAGTGCAAAAACACTTTAAAAATACAATAATTAAAATGAAAAGCAATTTAAACAAATTTAAAATTATTAGTATTTCAATGGGAAGTGTAGGCCTGTTTTTGGCTGAGTATTGTTGTTGTTGTTGTGTGCTTTCAAGTCATTTCAGACTTAAGTTGACCCTGAGTGAGGGCCGGGTAAATGACCTCGGAGGGCCATATTCAGCCCACGGCCTTAGTTTGAGGACCCCTGCTCTAGAACATGGCTATATAGCCCAAAAAACCCTACAACAACCCAGTGATTCTGGCCACGAAAGCCTTCGACAATACATTGAAAAATTAGTCTTGACTAGGATAGTGTATCTGAATCATGTGGGTTTACCTATGTGTCGATTCACCATTCAAAATGGATTAAACTGATCTAGTATGGCCAGAGACTAACCAGTAGGATGTCAGACATTACCTAATCTAGAACATATCTTCAGAATGGAGCAACCATTTCAAACATACTGAGGGGAAACATTATTGGCCAAGCAGCAAAATACAACAAAATCTAAAATCCATAAGCAATATCTTTATCGGGTCAGTTCCAAAACATAAAAAATTATGCATGCTTTTGAAGTTTTACTAGCTTTTTCATCAGGCAAATAAATATGTTAAAAATCAAACAAATAGTGACATGTTGAGAGTCCAGCCTACATTCTGCCTGATTGATTCAAGGCAGTTAATAATGTAAAACTGAATTCTACAGCACAGATTCATCCTCAGAAAGTAAACCATATTGAGACTGTGAAGACATTCTTAATGCTCGAGAAAAAGGTTTAAGTCCCCATCCCACCCAAATGGGCAACTGCTTTATCAACTGGTGGAAGGCAAGGCAGCACGCTCTACTTCAGGGGTCCTCAAACTATGGCCCAGGGGCCAGATGCGGCCCTCCAAGGTCATTTACCCGGCCCTCGCTCAGGGTCAACGTAAGTCTAAAATAACTTGAAAGCACACAACAACATCAACAATCCTATCTCATCAGCCAAAAGTAGGCCCACAATTCCCATTGAATTACTAATAATTTAATATTTGTTGAAATTGTTCTTCATTTTAATTATTGTATTGTTTTAAAGTGTTTTTTGCACGACAAATGAGATATGTGTTATGTGCATAGGAATTTATGTTTTTTTTAAATTATAATCTGGCCTCCAACAGTTTGGGGGACTGTGACCTGGCCCTCTGTTTAAAAAGTTTGAGGACCCCTGCTCTACTTGGACACAGTTGGCCAAATATGTCCACAGATTGCGTCATCTATACATTGAAAATATTTTTCAAAAAATCCAAGAAGAAAACCTTCATTTTATCATGTTATATACTGAACATAGTTTTACTAATTTTGAGACTTGAGCATACATTTTATTTATTTATTTATTTACGACATTTATATGCCGCCCTTCTCAACCCGAAGGGGACTCAGAGCAGCTTACAAGATATATATAAATATATTATATTATTAGCATAGCACAATATCAATATTATATATTACTATATTGTACTATACCATTATATTGTAATATTATTAGTAATATTACATGTAATATTATATATATATATATATATATATATATATATATATATAAAAATTATGATATATATTCGACAATACATTATAATATCACATTGATTTTGGTATCCAGAAGGGATGCTCAGCAGACACTCAATGCCCACTGCATAATGTTGCAGGATATTGCAGACATATCCCTCCAAGGGACCTAGCAATGGATGGCACTCTTTTTGCACCATAACCGTGCATTTTACTATGTATGGTATACTACCCATACCTGGAAAATGAACAAGCAGTAATACTTATTCATTTAACTAGTAAAAAAATATAATAGTCTTTGTCAAGTTTTACAATGTATTGCAATGTAATATAGCTGAGTCATGCACTGCTAATGGGCTTCTATTGGAAATACTGAATAATGCATTAACTGTATATAGGGTATCATTTGGGGAATGTGTTCTGGCCTAGTCCAGGTGATTGTGAATGATGTAATCCTGGGTCTGAGTTAAGTTAATGAGTTGGGAACCAATCAGAGATTGCTATGTGTAATTGTATAGAACTGTATATAAGGAAGTCATGTACAGTGTATATTTCTCCTTGTGCTGTGATGTTGTTCATCGAAGGCTATATGTAATTAAAAGAACCTGTCTGCTAAGACAAGATATAACTGTATGCTGTGGTAAGTTTGTAATATCATCTAGACTGGGGGAAAGACAATGGTAAAACTGTCAATGGTCGGGCATGTGCTCAAGTGTCTGTAAAAGGTTCCAGAGCGACTGCAGTTTGTGGGAGCAGTTGACTGAAAATACTGTGCAGGGCAAAGCTACTGGAAAGCGCTGAAGTTGTGCAGCTGATGTGCTGCTGAATTGTGAAGTTAATCTCAACAGTCTTGATGATCGAATTAAGACGTTTAAAATTCACTGAGGTCCCTACCACACAGCTGAATAAAATCCCACATTATTTGCTTTGAACTGGAATATATGGCAGTGTGGACTCAGATAACCCAGTTCAAAGCAGATATTCTGGGATTTTCTTCCTTGATATTTTGGGTTATGTGGAAAGGACCTAATAAACATGCTCAATTCTTGTAAGAAAAAAAGTTTAGTGAGGCTACAACACACATGGTGTCTATAATAGTAAAGCCAACAGTGATGAATGCATGTTTTGGGTGTTGTTCAGCATAAGAACCTCATTAGAACTAGCCCTGATTTCCCCTATGAGTGGAGTTCCCAAATGATTCTGTTCAATAATTCACATCCAAACCAAATCTAACTCTGCACTGTAAACCGAAAACACTGTTTATACTATTTTTAGCCTCTTACCATCCAGTCGAAGAATACGTTGTTCCCATACCTGTAACATGATATACTTGGCTGTGAGAAGTGATATCTATTGTACAAAGAAACAGTTTTCAGAAAGGCTCACAGTGAAATGTTTTCAATGTGCCAAAGTGTAATTTAAGTGTATGCAGCATATTTTTCCATTGTCCCAAATATATGAAGGAAGAACATTTACAGAAAAGAAAAAGCTGGCTTCCTGAATTTCTGTGGCCCTTTATCACTCCAAAGACTAGAAATGCGAAGTTTTCCTATATGGAATTGTACAACACTCTTTAATCAGAATGAATTTGCCAAGCCTACCAAGAACATAGTCAGAGGCCCTTCCACACAGCTGAATAAAATCCCACATCTGCTTTGAACTGGAATATATGGCAGTGTGAACACAAATAACACAGTTCTATGCAGATATTGTAGGTTATTCTGCCTTAATATTCTGGGTTATAAGGCTGAGTGGATAGGCTCATAGAAAAACTCGAAAAAAATCAGCAACATCCTAGCAGAGGACTCTGCCCACCCCCTGAACAGTATAGTTTAAAGGAACAGCCCTGGACTAGGATTGTTAAAATTGTGTGATTTTAATGTTTATATGTTTTTAACACCACATTTTAATGTTTAAATGTCATTGCATTTTTATGATTTGATAGCTGTATGTTATTATTGTTTTTGTTAGGTTTTTATGTATGTGAGGCATTGAATTTTCCGTATGTATGTTGCAAACCGCTTTGAGCCCCCCTCCCAAGAAAAGTGTTATACAAATGAAGTAAATAAATAGCTTATTATTATTATTACGTATCAAAGATACAGAATGGGGGACAATGCCTGGCTTGAAAGCAGTACGTGTGAAAAAGATCTTGGAGTCCTCGTGGACAACAAGTTAAACATGAGCCAACAACGTAATGTGGCGGCAAAAAAAGCCAATGGGGTTTTGGCCTGCATCAATAGGAGCATAGTGTCTAGATCTAGGGAAGTAATGCTACCCATACTCTATTCCGCCTTGGTTAGACCACACCTGGAATATTGTGTTCAATTCTGGGCACCACAATTCAAGAGAGATATTGACAAGCTGGAATGTGTCCAGAGGAGGGAGACTAAAATGATCAAGGGTCTAGAGAACAAGCCCTATGAGGAGCGGCTTAAGGAGCTGGGCATGTTTAGCCTGAAGAAGAGAAGG